GTGAGTAAATATTTAGCTCATTTACATTTTTGGGTGAACTACTCCTTCAAGTGTGCATTAATAAGATGGTGAATTAACTAATTCTACTATGAATTATGAATATTTATTATGACTATAAGTTAATTGACTGAAAGGTGGATGGTCACAGAAGATTACTGTTCTAAGTATTCATGACCCAATTAATATTCATATTCCACACCTTAATTATGCATTCTAAGTGACATACAGTTTGTTGGAAAGCATAAAAAGCAGTCAATTGCTGTATGAAAGGTAATCTGCATATAAAGTATGAAACATTGGTGGTTTTATAGTATTATATTTAAGTTTTGATCAGTATTTTGCGCATTGGCACACAATAATTTTCACTCACAAATTCTGATAAGGTTCACATTCATTAAGCAAATGGATAGAAGAGCATAACATGTTTAAATCCACTTTTGCACATGTATTATCCATTGTTCTTTTACAGCTTTTAATTTTCCTATAGTGGTGAGAGAGAGTGCTTTTAATCCTGTGTGTGTCTTTGTCTGGACGGATGATCTGGAGTTGTCTATTTCCAACAGCCCTAGTCAGGTGGCCTATTTTCAGATGTATTTTAAGACAGTGCGTCCTGAGAGACATCATCCCCTGTCTGTTTCTGCCTCAGTGAGAGGAGCCCTGCTTTCTGCTGCTGAGGCTGTTGCTTAGGTGATTATAAGCAGGAATAGCACCCATATACTGCTATTTTTGTCTGTCTTTAATGTTGATGTCATGGGGCAGATTGTCAAACATGGCGTTTTTAAGTGTACATGTAGCATGTATGAACAAGGCACTAAGGTCGGCGTCACACTATAGAGTGCATTAGTACCCGCCCAATTTGTCAGTGGACAGGTTCTGGAAGTATTTTTTTCCATGAATTTTTCCCATTGGGATTTTTAAAAAGTTATTATTAAAGTGGTATAAGCCATGAACTAAACCAAATATATATATATTTTTTTTATTTAATTTTCCCAAAAAGCTAAAAGCCATGTATCACAAAAAGGCAGTTTTTTTCCACTACACAATCACATACATTCAGAGGCTAAAGCTAGTGTATGAATTCAGTTTAGTACAATAGTTTATGTGCAATATACTGTACATAATTTAGTTTAGTACAATAGTTTGTTAGTTTGGTATACTCCTGTTTTTATTTCAGTGAGATTTACATTGAAAGCATTGTCATATGTGAGTGTGATGGACTAACAATAAGCTAAATTTACGGTGGCCGAGAAGTGCAAAGCAGATCACAATTCTGAAAACAAAATAATAAATTACAAACGCAAATGCAAGTCTAAAAAACAAAATAACAATTCAGAAAACATTATAACAAGTCAGAAAACACAACGACAAATCAGACAAACCGGAAGAGGTAGGTATAGTTTGAGACAGCGCCTTTGGTTTGGGATTACTCACCACTGACTGGACGAGACATCTGTCAATCAACGTATACAGGAAGAACCAGCCGAAGAACAGCAGAGTCGTTGTAGAAAGTTCGGAGATGGTATTAAAGTAGCTCAGTTTAAATGTATTGTATGAATTGCCCTTACTCTGGAATTAAAAATACGGGTTGTCTATTTACATTTAGTTAAAAGTGGCTGTAAATCATCAGCTCCAGTGGCGCAGATGGATAAGCGCTTGTCGTTGGCTTTTTGACGTGACCGACCGGGGTTCGATCGCGTCAAAAAAAACAAAGGCACGCACTTATCCATCTGCGCCACTGGAGCTGATGTTGTACAGCAACTTTTAACTAAATGTAAATAGACACCCCATATTTTTTATTCCAGAGCGCTGTCTCAAACTATACCTACCTCTTCCGGTTTGTCTGATTTGTCGTTGTGTTTTCTGACTTGTTAATTTGTTTTCGGATTTGTCGTTGTGTTTTCTGACTTGTTATAATGTTTTCTGAATTGTTGTTGTGCTTTCTGAATTGTTATTTTGTTTTTTAGACTTGCATTTGCGTTTGTAATTTGTTATTTTGTTTTCAGAATTGTGATGTGCTTTGCACTTCTCGGCCACCGTAAAAATTTCAGCAAAAACTGCAAAGTGAGATATCGTCTACCAAAATCAAAATGCTTTGAGTCAGCTAATGGGAGGCTGCCTTGAGCAACTCACTGTTTTCTTGGCTCCAGTGCATGGCATCTTGGCCATTACGGTGAAATGTAGCCTCTTACACAACTGCACTGTAGGGGAGCTGTTCCTGGGGGATGTTGACTGGACTGTCACCAGCGGGTGTGTGTGTGTGTGTGTGTGTGTGTGTGTGTGTGTTTGTGAGCTTGGTGTCAAGGTAACGGAACTGCTTGTCTGCCACCACAAGCCTTTTTGGTTCTTCCTAAAAATGTTGCCATCAATCAGCTCTTTCTCTCTCTATTACTGTCCATTTCTCTCTGTTCATACATGTATAGCTGCCTGCAGCCCTGAATTAGGCCAGGACGGTCATATGGCTTTTACAGTATTAAGAGCAGTTTCAGATGAATGTTTGCCTGAAAAACAGCTTACCTGTAATTTATGTGTGTGTGTGTACTTGTATAATGAAGAGAGTGTAAAGACATAAGGCGGAGGGAGAGCGAGTCTTTCTGACAGTTAAAGACAGCTGCAAGGGATTTCTCGAAGAACTGTGTGTGATTCTGAGAGAGTGAATGCGTCTGCATGTGTGAAAATCAGTATGTGTAGCTGTGTCCTATTCCCTAGTGCACTATATTTGCAATAACAACACTATTTTGTAGTGTTGAGTTTTTAAAGATTTCATTCCATATATAATTAATTTTTTGCATAAAGTTTGTTATATATACACTACCGTTTAAAAGTTGTAAAGTTTGTGAACGAAATCTCATATGCTAACCAAGGTTGCGTGTATTTGATCAAAAATATAGTCTAAACAGTAATATTGTGAAATATGATTGCAATTTAAAATAACTGTTTTCTGTTTTAAAAGATTTTAAAATGTAGATTATTCCTGTGATGGCAAAGCTCCAGTCTTAAAGGGGTCCTATTATGCTTTTTCACTTGTTCAACTTTAGTTAGTCGCACATTTCGTATTTCAGAAGGCGGGCCTTCATTTGATACAGGAACTATTCGAGCCGTTCATGCCAGACTGAGGAGAGAGGTGTTGTAATAATGTAAAATATTCGAAAAATAATGTGTTTTTCGAACAACCTAGTGTGAGAGCCTGTTCTAGTACACACCCAAAACTAAATCAAGACTTTGTAAAAGAGCATAATAGGACCCCTTTAATATATGCTGATTTGATGCTCAAGAAACCTTTCTTATTATCTCAGTTGAAAACGGTTAAAAGCACTGATATAACTGTGATACTTTTTTTTTTATTATTATTCTTTGATGTATAGAAAAAGAACACCAAAAGAACACAATTTATTTTAAATATAAATCTTTTGTCACATTGTAAATGTATTTAATCTCACTTTTGATCATTTTAATGCATCTTTGCTGAACAAAAGTATCAACGGTTGTGCATTATTCTTCCCAAAGTACATGCGAGTGCTTCAGAGCCTTATTCTGTTGAATTCAGTTGCTCATTTTCATGCACTCTTTCTCTATGTAGTGAGCAGTAAGACATTCACTGGGACGTGAATGGGTGACTGACTGAGTTATTTCAAACACAGTTTGTGTGTTAGCTAATTCAGAGACCCATATTTCAGTGTGAGTGGCATTAGCCTTTAGCATAGTTAGCAACAGCTTATTTCATACTGTTTTTGTGCCATTATGTGCATATTTCACTTTCTTGTGACCATTTTCCCACTCTTACTGACCTTTAGAATTAAATGGGACGCTGTTGTTCTTTCCCACATGAAATGAGCAACAGTACACAGTACAGAAGGTGACCAATATCATTTTTAACTCCTCCACAGCCTTAAATAACAGCCTCTTTGCAAAGCAAAATAATCTATGCTGAAATGTGCAGACGCAGCATCATCTTGGTTTTAAACAAGCCATGATGTAATGTGCAACACATTAATAGAGAAGAGAAGAGAGAGAGAAATTAAAAGGAAGATGTAAAGAGTGATGCTTCTGGTTAGCTGGCATTGGGTAAATTAGAAGACGAATGCAGTATTCATGTTAAAGGAGTAGTTAAAATATGAAAGTTTGCAGAAAATGTACCCTCAGGCCATCTAAGAACTAGATGAGTTTGTTGGAACAGATTTGGAAAAAATTAGCATAAAATCCCTTGCTCACCAATGAATCCTGCTCTGAGAGAAACTGTGTGTAAAGGTTCAGGAGGTAACAGGTTTATGGGTAATTTTATGTGTATAATTGCAGGTTTTGTCTTCCAAAGTGCTTTGCATTATTGAAAATAATCTTTATTAATCTCAAAAACTTGGTCATGTTCTTGGCCGCTTGGCAGTAGAGAGTAAATTAATGTTCTTTCTTTCTCTCTTTTACACACATGCATGGTATGCGTGAATGTGTTAAGTAAGGACAGGTTATGTAATACTAGTTTAGTAGTTTACTTGTGCACATTAAATGCACACATACTCCACACAGTGTGGGGCATATATAATCACTCACACACACAGAATACATTCATACATACATATTTATATACTCTAACCCATCCCCACACACGTTTTGCCTTTAGAATGTGTTAAGTATTACTCTAATAACTACCAGATTTGTGTATAAAAGAAAAGCAGCTGTTTCAGATCTTCTTTGTGAAACCCATTTTATCTTTAGTTTTTTGTTTTTTTACTTAGAAAGAGCATTGGATATGTGAACATACATATTATAAAAAGGAAATACCAGATTAATACATGAAGCGTAAGTTTTGAGGCCTCCCTAAAGAAACATAAAGCATCTGTTTGGTTAGCATTTAGAGACAAATCATACTGTAAAACTGTAGATTTAGAAGGACGCATTGGGTGCATTCAGACTGCTCCAGTCACATTAGCACTCTCTTACCTCTTCATTAAAACATTCTCAGTCATTTTTTTATTGATGATCTTTGTGCTTTTCTGTTTGCTTGACAGGCAGTGACAGGAAGACGTTTCGGTGACAAGGATTTTAGAAGCGGGCTGGAGAACGGCATTCTGCTCTGCGAGTGAGTTTTATATACATACATTGTAGATGTAAATGAAAATTGTTTATTGGAAATTAAGATCTCTTGCTTAAAAAAATATTCTGATTAAATGCAGATGCACCAGTATGAATTCCAAATACAAACTTGTTTGTATAAGCATAATTTACATCTAGCAAAATTTATGTTAGAGAGGACAAATAAAAATACTGAAATATGGATAAAACCACCGGATTATGATCACTACACTACTGTTCAAACATTTGGGATCCATTTATTTTTGAAGTCTTTTTTTTTTTTATTCTATTTTAATATAAAATGTCATGTATTCATGTGATGACAAAATGGATTTTTCAGCGACCATTACTCCAGTCTTTAGTGTCACGTGATCCTTCAGACATTTTTTCTAATATGCTGATTTGGTGCTAAAATATTTCTTATTATTAATGTTGAAAACAGTTGTGCAACTGTAATACATTTTTTTCCCTATTCTTTGGTAAACGGAAAGTTTAAAAGAACAGCATTTGTGTGAATTAGGTTTTTTGTAATAATGTAAAAGTCCATACTGTACTGTCAATAAATTGAATTGAATTTAATGCAATAAATATGAAAAGTGTTCGTTTCTATAAAAATAGTTACATGACTCCAAATTTGTGAACAGTAGTGTAATTATATATATATATATATATATATATATAGGACACCCTCTTGAATTCCATGGTTTTCCATATCAGGACATAATAAAAAAAAATATCTGGTCCTTGACAGGCCTTACAATTTGGAAAATAAAACCTCAGATGAACAACAACACATGATATATTGCACCGTGCCATTAATAATTTAACAAAAATGTCACAGTCATTGAGCCGACCACGAACTCCTCTGTAGGCCTGTCACGATAGCAACTTTTTTTGTGCGATATATTGCCCCAGAAATAATTGCGATAAGCGATATTATTGTCATTTTAAAGACCATTTTATGCCACTGAATATATAATCATAATGTAACAGCATAATAATGCAAGAGGGCCTACATGCTTCCAAATGACAACAAACTTTGAATTTTTAAGAATATTTAGATCATGGGAATTAAATATCAAAATATTAGATACCTTAAAAAACCTGAATAAATACTAAATAAACTGTTTCTAACAAAAAGTGCAAAGTAACAAGTAGAAAAAAAGAAAAATGCACAAAGAACTTTTCCCAGATTTTTCCCTGACCTTATTTTCTCTGTAAAATTAAGGGTGCACTGTATTGCTGAAAAACACAATCACTACTTAGCAGTCAGATGTCCGTATGCACAAAGGCACAGATCCCTAAACAAGACCATATCTGCAGATGAAACTTTTTTTGTAGAAGCATTTTTTTAATTTGAACTAGCACCTCATGACTACTCCTTATGTACGAGAAGCTGCAAAAGACACAGGCGCAAATGGAATGCAAAAAACATGGTGACATTCATTTTTAAGTAAATATAATGGGCGATATATTGCGTCACCAAAAATGATTGAGGTCATGTACATATATTGCGCGATAAGTCGATATATTGATTATTGCGACAGGCCTACTCCTCTGTATCCCAAAGTATTCTAGAGTCAAATGTGAGGACATCCGTTCGACAGCTAAAGCTTGCCCAAGATTGGGTGATGCAACAGCACAATGATCCCAAGAAAACCAGCAAATCTACAACAGAACGGCTGAAAATAAAAGAATCAAGGAGTTACAATAGTCCAGTCAAAGTCCAGAGCTCATCCTGATTGAAATGCTGTGGTGAGAGCTGTGCATAAACAAATGCCCTCAAACCTCAATAAACTGGAGCAACGTTGTAAAGAAGAGTGGGATGAAATTCCTCCAGAACAATGTAAGAGACTGATTATGTCATACAGAAAATGATTAATTCAAGTTATTGCTGCTAAAAGTGGATGTACAGGCAATTGAATCATAGGGTGTCCTTACTTTGTCACACATGGTTTTTACATTTTGGCTTAATTTTTGTTAATTAAATAATAACAAAGTGTGATATGTAATGTGATGTTGTTCATCTGAGGTTTTATTTTCCAAATTTTAAGACCAGATAATTTTTTATTATGTCGTGATACAGAAAACCATGGAATTCAATAGGGTGTCCTAACTTTTTCACATGACTGCATCTAGAATAATTTTCTTTGATGTTAAAAACTATGTAAAATTGCTTAGGAAAGAATTGCTCTGTGAAGAGGAATTGGTACAATATAGAGCTATAATCTTGAATTCTGTCATCAGTTTAGAATTTTTATAGGCACAGATTGAACAACTGTACTTTCGGTTTTCGAGGGATGTGGTGCAACTTCTATTGTAAAGTTGCTATTGTGCATCTAAAACTGTTTGGTCTCACCCACTGGTTTGTCTCTTTTCCATTCAGCTCATCTATGTGATATATATATATATATATATATATATATATATACACACACACACACACACACACACACACACAGTATATATGTATATATATATATATTAGGCTTGCCGCGATAGACGGTGTTGACGGTGAT